TGTTGCTCAAACTCTCAACTATTTAGATTTTATTACTAAAGTGAATAAACTTTCTTACAATTGCAACAAGATATAGAAAAGTGTGATTGTTTTTGAAGAAAACATTTGTRAAAATTACGGTAAAAAAAGGTTGCAGCCCTCAACCTCGGTTTTATTAAATGTTATGTACTTAGTTTTTGATAAATTATGTTGRCTTGCAACWAGAAAAGATYTSAAAAAATAAAAARGATTAAAGAAACAATTTTYATTTTMAAAATCATCACGGGCTMMKATTWTCAKATAAGTTTTAGTATTTTTRWGCTCWATYTGCGATTTAGCAAAATTAAAMCAGATTTCYSAAWAACGTTCTARWCKYKSGRRAAWATKWMYGAWAWYAAWCGGAAAGCTTAAKCAATTAAACAACGCWAATWTGAKCTMYTTTAAMATAATAATAARTAAGYTTATCTCCTAAAAAASCARCMCWAWMAYWMTAAWYGCTCGGGAATATTTCKGRTWTMAACTMGAAGCATSTTAATAATTTTCWMMKTYRACATTTWRGKARTTTAAAAGCRGMATTTCGATTGAAAATTTAGAATTTATTATTAAAACTGGAAAAAAMTTAAGTGCACATTTCACTAGTATTCGTCTATCCAAAATTTRAAAAAAAAAGATTTGGTTCACTTAGAAAAAGGCAARTACCCGAGGCGAGGCAAATGTACAGCAAACTGTAAAATACTAAATTTTAAAAAATAACACCGAACCTAGTCAATARATCSGGAAAGTCAATTAAAAGTTTTAAGACAAGAACGACTAATTATAATACGCTTAATGTAAAAGAAATTACTGTTCGAAAAATATTTGACTTGCGGGAGAATTACGTTTAAGATCAAAATGTCCAGGTTAAAGTCAGGGCTAAGAATCTGAGTAGGAATTTAATGTTTCAATACGACATTTTAAATCGAAATAGAAAGCTTAAYACAAGAAATTTGCRTTAAGATAAACATATTAGTTTTGAAGTCGAGACTTGCASATTCAAATTTCTAGTTTACAGCACCCACAGGGGGACCAAAAATCCAAAAAAACCGAAAAGAACAACAAAATACAAAAGAAGACGTAAAAAGTAGAAAAGACTGCAACAAGGTAAAACACCACTGAGACAAAGGATGAAGGACTGAAGCCCGAAGTGATAAGGACAAAGCCGAAGCGACACAAAGCTCATCACAAGTCATCAAATTTGTTGAAATAATTTTCTTCAATTACTGACGGAGAAAAAAATTATTGATTTCTTAAATTTTCCTCTACAACTAGATTTGTCCCGACAAAATTTTAAATTCACCGATATTAAGCAAACTATTAAGAGAGATTAATATAAATAAATCAGTTTGCCTGACCAGATGTTTTGAAACATTCTATGAGCTTTCGGGAAAATATCAAAATATCAGTCCATGGTAAACCACTCAAATCATTACTACAAACCAAAAAAAAAAGGGAAAAAAATTCTTCCAGCAGGCCCACAGGATTTGCTGCCAATGCTTTCAAAGGTCTTCGAAAAACTGTATGCCGAAAGACTTAATATGATAATAGAAAAAAACGTCTTCCAACTCATCAATTTGCTTTTCGCAATAAGCATGCAGACGACTAAATCATATCAACCGAGATTTTAATCCTGGATCTATCGCAGGCTTTTGATAGTGTAGTAAGCCGATCTGCAGGCAAGAACGAAGAAACTTTTTCGTCGTGAATATTATAAATTTATAAACTCGTACTTTACAGACAGATACTTTCCCGTTAAGAAATTCGCTAATACAACAACTTAAAAAATAATTCAAAATGTTGAAATTGAGTTTACAAATTGAAACCAAATTAAACTCAAAAGAAAAAGCAGCAGAACCGGACAAACATTCGTGTTTCTAGTCGATATTTCTAAAAATTTTAAACATTATTTGATTTTTCATATTTACGCCCCATCATTTTTTAACGATTTAAATGTAAATTTACAAATTGTACTATTGCGTAAAAACCTACATTGCTGTAAAAATTTTGTCAAAATTGAATAACCCACTAGTTAATACCTTTCAAGATTAACCCATATTTGCGTTTTACCCAACAAAAATATGATTTTTTTTTCTTTATTACAAGATCAATCAATCAAATACCCATCGCTGAATCGGCTTACACGTGAAACCTTGCCATAATTTACGATTGAGCAAGATAAGCCCATTAGGCGGACTATAAGGTATTAATTCATGGATTGAACAAAAAATAAAAATAAACACAATAGAGGGATTATTTGTGTTGCCAACTCATGTATGCTGTTTCGTTAAGGCTGAGCGTGGCGCTTTTATAAACAGCGCACAACAAATTATTTCAATTCGCTTTAATTTAAAGCTGTGAAATAGACACTGAAAGGTAATTGTCTACTATCAATAGTTTATGAAAGGAACGAACAAGAAAAAATCTGATTTCCGTACTTCCTGTTTAAGAATAGACCGATTCAATTTCATTTTTTGCAATTAATGAGAGAAAGGTAAATTGTACTTTAGAAGCGGTAATATTTAAGCTCCTTTAAATAGAAGCACTTGGCAGAATGAACAGCTTGCAGACAAGGTTTCTAAAGTGGTCCGCGGCTCTGCAATGGAAGTTTATATCCTGCACTAAAGTTCAGTTAGACAAATAGATACTTTGGATTTTGTGGACGTGTGAAACGCCAGCCGATAAATTAGAGCCTATGAGGAATGTGGGAAGAATGGACAAAGCTGCGGGATTCCTTTTAAAAAAATAACTACACCTAAATAGATAAAAAATTCTAATTGGATTTGGGTGAGGAAATTTGTGGACAGATGAAAGTAATTTAAAACAATTCAAATATGTCAATGAAGATGTATTAAATTAGAAAAACAGTCATTCTAAAATTACACCTAATGTTACAAAACTTAGATTTAAGTTGTAAATTATATATACAGTAAATTTAACTCTAGTCTCTCGTTTCGCCTTCTTCATCTTCTTCTTCTGCGCCTCTTATAAATAAGACATTGTTACATCTAATGAGTACTTCTCCCAAATTTCCTGGAATTAAAATGGGATACTGATATATGATCTACAGGCAATTTAGGCTTTACTAATAAGTACATGAAAAACGTAATTGAAAAAAACTTGATTGAGGGAAAAACAAGTGATTTAATAACGGTGCACTTCACAATTTAAATCCTATTAACCTTGCAATGGAGCAGATAAAATCAAAGTAAATTGTGATTTACAAAACTCTTTCTTGTGATATCAGTTTACTGATCTAGGCATAACAATAATATAAGAAAAAAACAGAAAAGAACTTTTCGTTCTCGGTAAGAATAAAGTAGGTCATCAAATATTTGGATCTTGTTAATCTTGTCTCAGAATTTGAGATTCCAGCACCAACCATCGGTTGCAAATAATGGAACCAAAATCTAGATTGAAATACATGAAAATGAGGATATAGAAAACATATGACTGTAAAGGAACAATCGTAGAAGACATAAAGAAATCAATTAATATGACACGTACATGTGGGGCGTATGGGGGATGAAACACTGAAATGAGAGTGGATACCCCCAAAAAATAGAAAAGGAGGAAGATTGTCAACAAGCTGGATAGAAGGAATTACAAAAGCAATATCTGCCAGAAAACTCTCAAAGGATGACTGGCAAAACAGACAATCCTAGCGAAGGGGAACCCAAAGGCATTATAGCCATGAACAGGATTTATATATATATATACATATAATACAATACCTGTAACTGCTCCGTCAATATATTCATCGCAATTGGCCAGTTGCAAGTTCATATAACCATCTACAGACACCAGGTATCCTTTATACTCATGGCCCCACTTTAGCTTCACCAGCACAGCTTTGCCTGTGAGACTGTTCAGGAAGGGTTTGGGGTTTATTGGCATTGCCGCTGACATCTTGAATTATTGATAGCAAAAACTCCACGAAAATGAAACTGAATAAATGTTTGGGACTACAATAACTTGAATTGAAGAAGCAAGTTTGGACGCCGATAAGAATAAGGTTAGAAATCAAAAAGACAATTGGCGGTTATGTTGTCATGTGTTGACAAATTCTCAGTGTTGCCAATAGAGTAAAGGAGAAACAACAGCGTTTTGCCCAATAGCTGCTCTTACAAGTGTTCATTTATCTAAATTTTAGTAAATAAAATTCTTATTTTTATTTCAATTAATAGAATATGTCGGAAATAACCCAGTACAGTGAAATTGGCTAGTTGGTTTGATAATTCGATTACGAACTTAAATATTTGACAGCCTGGTATCTGCCTATCAATTATTATTAAATTAAGCATGAATGCTTAATAAAACCAAAGCAGATAACATTCAGACACGATATTTATGCAATATTGTGCTATAAGAATGATAATTTGTTTATTTTAATGGCCTAATGTAATTTAATCCGGAAATATTTACATGCATTGGTGGTTGCCTATCGACGGTTCCAAATTTCCCATTTTTGGCAATTTGAAAAGCATTGACGGCGTCAAAAGTTCAAAGGTAAATAATGTGAGATCCAAAGAAAAACATTGGCGATTGTGCGAGTATATTTATTTAATTTCACCTCCTTTCTTGCTTCAATAGTGGCTTTATTTACGACGTAATTTTAAAGATTTTTGTGGTTGTGCTTTTCCTCCAAGTAAGTGCCTGTTTTATATAATAAATAGTTTATTTTCAATATTGCACCGAAATAATCGTTTATAGTTCGTATTAGTAGTAGAATTACCACACAGAACCATTTTAATAGTAGTCAGGAATCGGAGCGCATGCAATCTTAACAAAATCTTCATATTTGACCATGCTGTTGTTGTTCACATTCGCTTCTCTGAAAATTCTATCAACCTCTTTGGACGACAGTCTTTCCCCCCAGTTCTGTAGTAGGTGTCTCAGATGTTTAGCGGATGTCACCCCTCTCTTTTCCGTATCTGCGGCTTTAAATGCATCCACGATTTCCTTTGGAAGGTTTTCCACTCTCGAGTGAATGTGCATCACTTCAAGGAAGTCAGGAAAGGACATTTTTCCACCCTGCAAAAGTAAGACACATGTTAGGGACAGGTTGGATGGCTGTGTGAATTGCACATACACTAGTACTACATAGTGAACTAAATTGAACTAAATTATGGTGTATAAAAGGGAGTCTTAATTCATTAGTTTAGTATCAAAACGTCGAGTGAAACCTAATCACGCGGATTAATGGCACTAAAATAAATCTTTACATTTTTATGAGAACGTTTTTAGCATGAACGAATATTGTGAAAGTACAGTTCACTAGGACAAAGTCCAAAGGCATTGTGTAGAAACAGGTACGAAACAACTCAGAGATCAACTCCCAGTCAAACAGGGTTTTTACTCTATTTGATGCTTTCTTACCTTTCTCTTCTAAGTGATTTCAAAGTTGGTTAGTGTAATTATAGAAAGACATTAAAATGAGCTTACATATTTAAATGCTTATTTATTAAGTAAATGATAAAGTAAATGATAAAGTGCTTTCTTTATGAAGCTGTCTAAAACTCTGAAACTTTTTTGCGATATTTGGCTCAAAAACATATCCAGACACAAGTCACGATTTAAAATGCGAAATATCGAAATTTACTAAAACCAGAAATACTTGAAACTTTATAGTCGACTCCAGGCTAAAATTCAATATTACTTCGAAGTGATCCAAGTGAAAAACGATTGCTTTAGAAGCGATCCTGGCAGATTTTCCATTAAAGTGAAATTTTCTTTCAAACAATCCGTTCTTGTCTCAAAACTCCAGATATTCCGAAGATATAAAGAAAAAATTAAATAGTTCAACACACCCTAGATCGGAAACAAAACGGTTAAGCACCATGAATGCCATCAAACAAGCCGAAAATTATCCGAATTGGGCTTCTAAATAACCTGTACATTAGTTAAACAATGTCGCAATAACTTCCAATTGATTTACGTATTATCTATATAAATGCTTATATTATATTATTATTATAAAAGCCTAACAAAAAAACATGGCTAATTCTCGGTGTATTACCTTGGTATATTTTCAGGGTTTTTCACCCCTAAATGTGAAATTGACCACACAAGCTTTATTACCTTTCGCTTAATGTACAAAACATCATCAGAATTAATTTTCGGTTAACTGATAGCCATTAAAAAATATTATTTTGGTATTAGAGTAAGGCCCTCAACACAGATAAATTTCGAAATCTAAAGACGCAGCTAAAATGATTTCATACAATATTTCACAAAACGATCGATTCAACCCAAAATGTGATTATTTTTGCTTTTTCTTCTTCAACTGTTAGATCGAGTGCATTTGACCTTATAAATATTTGCTTTAGATAGTTGGAAACTTGGTTAAACAAAAATACTTATCATACAAGTGCTATAGTTTTGCAGATATGATAAAAGTACTTCGCATAGTAGAAAGGCAAACATTACTAACTTTTCAGCTGTAACACCTAGTTTGACTATGTTTTTCGGACATTGCCATTCTTGGAAAAAGCACTTCAATTCAGAGCTCTACTCAGAATCAATTTTTCTCAATCTGGTCTATATTTGATTTCGAATTCACTGGTAACGTAAAATTAAATTATTAAATCCCATAATTATTATTAATATTAATCCAACAATTAATATTTGGATGAAGGCAAAGAGAATTTAATTCTTAATTAACTCATATTTAGAATTTGTTTATTGCTGAACCTTGTAGAAAAAACTTTTCGTTAAGATCAAAATTTTTAAACCAAAATGTTTGTTTGAAATAATGCTGCTCTAGACCGCCGCCTGAACTTATTAACCTGAACCACTTAATTGCTGCATTGAAACTTAAAAATATATATTTTAGTGGATTTATTTGCGACAAATCCAGAGAAAATGCTGAACATTTTTTTGAACAAATTGGTCAAGCAATCAAAATTCTCCTTCAGTCCAGTTGCTTAATTTGTATGAAAAGTGCGTGCATTGGTTCTAGTAATTACCTGTTTGTGTTTGTTAAATTAATTCGTATAAATCGCTGTCCTCAAATTTACGGTTTGTTTAGTTGTTTAACAACTGTCGTAATAACTGTACCTTCTGTTCTAATGCTTGCTAGTTTTAATTAGATAAATAACTCGCTTAAATGAGTAAAAAACAACTGAAATATTTGAAACTAAGAAATCCAACTGACCTTTTGCTTAAAATATCCAGCCAGTTCATTGATAGTAGGACTAAGTCCTAAGCTTCGCATTATCACTGTCAGCTCATCGAGCGATTTTATATGCCCAGATCGAGCAAATAAAAAGAAGCATTCTCTAAATTCTGCAAATAAAAAAAGTTTATTATAATTCTAGTTAAACAAAAATTAATAAAAGTACCGAATTTCAGTGATGGTTTACTATAAAAAAGCAATAGTTTATTGCATTATGTGTAAAAATGAATCGTTTTCGTCATAGTGCATGACGAAGATTCAAAGAATTTTTTGATGTGTTCTTCGAGCGGGTTTAATGAAATGTGCAGTTTGCTGTGACCAGACTAGGTATCCTTTGGATCAATTACAATTGATGCAGTTTATTGTAGAAAAAAAGCAGGCGATAGTCTATTTGGAAAGTTGTACTTTTTCGACTTCACGACACCTCGTCCTCCAAAAAAAATTATCTATACAGGGTTCCTAAGTAGATACTGTTTTAAACTGTTAGGTAACGTTCTTGAGAAAAGACTTCTATAAGAAGTCATTGATAAATGACTTTTTTTAACTGTATATACAGTTTAAACAAAAGTGATTTAGAGAGAGAAAACAATTATTTTCCATATGGGCTCACTCTTGGAAAGAGGTACAGTACCTATTTCTAATTTTCTATTCATTGTAATAGGTACATCCAAACAAAAAATACATAGTTTGGTTAGCAAGAAACACTTAAAATTTTCTAAAGCCATATTGAACCGTTTTTGCATATTAATAAAAAGCTATTTTTTACAAATTTCAGGAGCCTGTATTTTGTATTTGAACACTAATTAATGCTAATTAACGCTTAATGCTAATCGAACAATTTTAGTCAACTAGTGATGTATTACACAACTAGAGCACTAATTAGTAAATGCAATATAGTTCAAGAATGGATCAAGTAAGTGATTGTAATTAAAGTCCAACAAGCAAAGATTGGAAACGTTCAAGATAACACCCATATTTTTATACATAATCGCTTACTACTTTTCATATACTACTGATGTCTTATTTACAAGAACCCACATTTGCGTCACTAATTTGTATCTATTGATAAGCTTTATTAAATTTATATTTTATCAGTTTAGTCGAGCCTTCCGCAGTGACGTTGTTTAATACTAAAATGTAAGTCATCTGAGAACAAAGCCGTGTAAATCAAGAATGAACATAATAAACTGTCCCATTAGCTGTAGTGACACAGTTTCCTTACGTGAATACATTAAAACACCGTGAATTTGTTATCATGATCTAGTAGGTTCTTGTTTTGACTAAACATAAAATATAAAATACGAGATCAATTCGTGACCTAAAACGCAGATTCGCGTCGTGCAGCACTTACCATCAATGTCTTGCTCTTTGAAATATCTGGCCTAAAAGCAAGAGAATTGGTTTAAAACATGGGAAAATGTGTTATAAATAATCTACATACCATTTCTGGTGTTCTGCGAGAGGAACAACAACCGACACGTTTACAAATTGATTAAAGCAGGGAGATTAAATTTTATTGACTGATAACCTGCAGATAGATTAAGTTTAGCTGCTCTACTGTGTTTACCTGAACTCGACAGGTAGTACCAAAGTAGAGGGGTACCAATAATGGTGTTCTAAGCGACCATTTAGTGCGGGAGTCTCTGATGTATTTTGTAATTTGAATTATTTTGTGGTTTCCATCGTTAATTCGCTTTTTTGAAACAGTCGTAGAATTTATATATGCAAAGTGGTTCAAAAAATGGTGTGAAAATGAATTAAACATTAATTCGACTTTAACTGAACCGTCTCAAGAGAAAGATTTTAGTATGCTTTAGTTACACAAAGGTACTTTTCGTACAAACTTATACATGCTCTAAACCCTAAAAGGGAAATCAGATTCGTTTTCAATTGTGTGTGTTTTTCAAAAAAATTAATTCAACAAAGGTGAAGTCGCCTGTTTTGGATAATATTGAAAAAGTTGAATTGAGGTCAAGTTGAGATCTACGGTGAAAAAGTAGGTTTTGTATTTTTTCCTAAAGCTACGTATTTAAATTTCCAAATTGTTTAATAATGAACTGAAATAATGTCGCGTTTCTAATCAACAAAATACATGAAATTGCTCCTTTGAAATTAAAAGTTAATTGAATTTGAGAAATGTGATGAAAGGGTGATTTGATTTCTGTTTGAAGCCTTATTTAGTTCAATTATTTTTCGGTTAGTGCGTGGTTTGTCAAAAAATTCGTGGTTCTTATAAAATTTCTACAGGGTGACAAATGGGCAAATCGAAAAAGTTCCACGTTCTTTCAATTGGACAAAAAAACGTTTTTTTTTTGTATTTCAACACCATTAAGACATTAAGACCGCGTTTCGCTAAAAACGTTTTTGAACTGCCCGACCATATCGTTTATTTACAGATTGGTCCGAAAAAAAATTCACGCTCGACTTGAGATAAATATTCAATATACTGAGTTGCGAAATATTTGAAAGAGAACTTCACTTTAGTTGAAAATGTGCCAGCCACAGATTTCTTTTTTATGCAACCCCGTATATTGATTTTTTGTCTTAAGTTGTCTATGAATCGTTAAAATCGGACTAAGCGGAAAATTTATCGCTGCAAAACCAAAAAGTTGATTTTTTGAGGTAATTCTTTAATTAGCAGAGATGGTGGATGCTTTTTGGTTTGTCTTTAACATTTTGGTGTTGAGATCTCAAAAAAGCCTTATTTTTGTCCAACTAGGAGCATGCCAGACTTTCCGAAAATTTTCATTTCTTCATTTGCCATCCTGTATAAAATTTATGTGAGGTGCTTAATGTTTACCAAAAGATTGACCGTGGCCTCCGTAAGACGGAGTAAGTAAGTTTTACTGAGGCCACGGATTGATGAACAAAAAACAAGTGGGGCTAGATCAGGCTTCAAACAGACACCAAATAGCTTGAAGTAATCAGAATATATCTACTTAGGGAGGAAAGGAAGGACGAATTAACAGAAACATGACAATGCTGCTGTGCATCTTTGTGAATCATCAGTTAATTACCTTGAGCCCAAAAATGTCCATTGGCTCCAGCACTAATGTTTATTCGATGATACGAAATACAGTCAATTTCCGCATTTTAGCATTATGTTGTTTGTCGTCGCAAGAGTAAGTTTGTACCAGTGGATGGTATATTTCGAATTTTCAGTAATATTTGAAGATTCTCGTTTCGTGTTGATGTTCCTTTTGGTTAATCACTAATTTTTGAAAAGACGTGGCTCGGTTGAGCAAAACACGTGCTTTCTGAAACATTTTAAGATCAAACATTGAGCGATTCGGTTCTTAAACGATTAGTGAGTTTATTGAAACCTTTGGTGATATTGATTCAAAGCTATATCGTCCTTGGTGAGTATTTAATGATTAATTAAAACGAAAGTTGTTCGATTCTTTATTTGAATGTATTTAATTTCACGCCTGTATTTATAAAGCCTCTTAACTAAACAACATTTGTCTTGTGCTGTTTCATGGTTTTCTACTTCAAATAGACTTTATTTTAGCAGCTAACGCATTTTCCACGCTCGAGCGTGTTTGTCCAAATCGCGTAATTTAATGTTTGTCTGATCATTATGTAAGGTCGTCTATTCGAAATCACATTTTATCTCAGTGAAGAACAAGTAATTAACTGGCTGCATGCGTTTTTTCACATCTTTACTCTTAAGAAATTAAGCGCTATCGAAATAATTTTGAGAAAAACTATGCTTCTGATAAGACTTGCCGTATACTTTGAACTTTGTATAGGTTCCGATTGCTTTTTAACTTTGCGATCGCAATGAATTGGCAAGTGTTTAAGGTAGTGTTTGAGACTTAGGAGTGCTCTATTATTTAATTTTGGGTGCAATTGTTAGGAAAAACTTATCGAATATTAGCGGTAAGTAAAGTTATGTAAAAAATCAATGAACTGCATCTTCTTCCTCGTTGTAAAATCTACAATGTTGCTTAGTATCAACTCTATATTCAATCAGAAGAGAGCCAATATGGTCTTAATAACTGTTCATAAGACGCTGTTGAAGGAGCACACGTGCAAGAAAATCCTGAAGATGGGAAATCTGGTGTATTTTATAATTATGATCATAAGTAGGCTCCAATACTATAGAGCGTTTTACAACGCATAAATAGCAAACTTCAAAATATAACCGGTGAAAATTTGAATTTTTTATTTGTTATTGCCGAGTGAACGCGCACATGGAAAGTTTATTATTTGCATACCTACAAAATAATTAAAAACCAATTGACTTTTATTTCAGTTTCAAATATTGTGAAAATATTCTTAATCGATTAAAACTTTGCGAAATGCTGTTTTCATTCATTTCACGTTTCTAAAATGTTTTTTCTCCTTTTCCAATTGTTTTTAAACAAATCGATTCTAATTTAGGTCAAGCTTGTATAAAACGTACTTTTTTTAAGAAGCAGCATTTTGTTATAATTTAGTTTTTCGTTGAATGCGTTTAAAACAAAAATTTTATTAGAAATAAAGCTGTTTTGAGCAAGAGTATTTGATACCAATAATAAATCCATCATTTTAGAGATGCACATCTGCATTCGAAAAAACAGCACGTTGATAAAAATTTTAGTAAAAATCATTAATAAAACTGTGACTAAAACTCTAAAATTGTTATTTTCTAGATACTGAAATTATTCGTATATCTTTTCAACTATTAAACGTGAAATATATTGCATTACATTGTGGTTATTTTTTATAGGTCAATAGTTTCTAGAAGTTGAGGCACAGATAATGACTTGATGGTGCATCGGCCATTATGGGCAAGTCTGATAATGAAGATCCGAAGTTAAAGCATCTTTCAAACACCGAAGTTGTAATCACCAGCTTAACTGCAGGTGCTATAGCTGGAGCTCTAGCTAAAACTACAATCGCTCCTTTGGACCGAACTAAAATTAACTTTCAAATAAGGTAAAATAAATTTTTATCTAGAAAAATTACTCAAATAAGCAACACATGCCTCAAACATTAAATTCGTACACATTTGCAATAGCAATGAATGAAATTTAAAATCTTACTTGCAATAATTCGTAATGTCTGTCCTACTCCGATGATGTCTTTAATAAGTGCTTAATTATTATGTTTAGTCAGAAAACTTATTCCACAAAGAAAGCTTTGAGGTTTATCGGGGAAACAAGGAGAAAAGAAGGATTCTTCGCATTATGGAGAGGAAACAGCGCAACTATGGCACGAATAGTGCCCTATTCGGCGATTCAATTTACTGCACACGAGCAGTGGAAGAGAATACTGAAAGTTGACGAGAATAATGGGTAAATGCATTTATTTTTTTAAGTTAGTCTCGAACGAATTCAGAAATTAGCAATCGAAAAAACATTACATGCAAACAATAAGTCAGTAGTGGGAGGACAATTTTCCTAAAATAGCCAATTGATGAGGAATCTGTATTTTAAGGCCTCTTAAATATAAGAATAGCAATAATTTCGCTGTAAAGGCGTTTTTTGTTTATTAATTTCGTTCCATTTAAAAATAGGTGGTAAATACACCATTACCGACTAATTTAAAGCGATTGATAAAGGTTCTGGACGAATTGGTTGTTTGCAAAATGCAATAAAATCAAACGTTTTATACTCGAATTTGTCTTTAACTTTGTTTGTCTAGTCGCCTTTTCAAGATTTAATGTTTTTTATTTCATTAAAACATTTCACGTAGGAATTTTCTATTTCCTTCTTAATATGTTATACAATTTTGTTGCGTTTTATTTTAATTATTTGATGTTAGAAATTGTGCTTGAAAGTCAATACTTGTGTTTTTTTAATGTTTTAATGTCAATACTTTTTAATTTTAAATTTAAACCGCTCAGTATTTTTTTTTAATGCAGAAATATTAAGTTTTGGTTTTGAACGATTTTAGGTCTAATGAGAGACTGTTTTTGGCAGGAGCGTTGGCCGGACTGACCTCTCAAGCTCTGACCTATCCATTTGATTTAGCACGCGCTCGAATGGCTGTGACCCACAAATTAGAATATGCTACACTTAGACAGGTACATTTTCAACTTTATTATATTTGAGGAAAAAATTGCAAAACATTGTCAATTTCGTAAAAGTAATTGTGACAAAATGAATACCTAACAATATATTTTTTCCACAGGTTTTCCAAAAAATTCGGGCTGTTGAGGGGTTACCAGCTTTCTGGAAAGGATTCGTACCCACGATGGTCGGTGTAGTTCCGTATGCTGGAGTTTCTTTTTTCACCTATGATACTCTTAAAAGACTGTACAGAGGTAAGTGCAATCCTGACTGTTTTGTGACTGTATACTTTATTTTTAAATATACAATAATTAATAACAGTTTTGACAAATTAGCAGTTTAAGTGCTTCAAATAATGGGTATCACTTGAAGGTAGTGGTAATTCCATGAATAACTTTCACTTGTATCAAAAACATAATATGTACCTTGAAAATCCATTCTGGTTTTCAAGTATGTAATGAATTAAATCGACAAATATTATTAAAAATAATATCGTGTAAATTAACAAAAGTTTGAAAAATTACGACTGATAAAAGAAAACCTGAAAATAATTCCAAGAATTATTTGTTCTAACTATTTTCTTTCAGAGCATGTGAACAATGCATTCATAGTTCCTCCTGCGGTTTCTCTGGTTTTTGGAGCAATTGCCGGCATAATCAGTCAAAGCGCTAGCTATCCATTTGATATAGTTCGTAGAAGAATGCAAACCGATATGACTGGAAAATACCCGAATATGCATGAAACAATACTCTATATTTACAGGTAAACTATTTCAAACTGTTCAGAAAACGAAACCCACGTTTTCCAACTTAATATAGTTACGTACAGATTATGTGTTGTTCTTATTGCTAAACTAATCTATTTTTATTTTTCTATCTGATAAAATTGTCTGAATTTTCCATTTCCATTGTGTCAATTTAATATTTCTTCGCTATTCTTGTCGATGTATCTAAAAAGCACAAATTATAAATGTCGCACTTTTTCCGATTATTTTACATCGATCATGGTGTACACATTTGATTCTATTTTCCCAACATATAAATCTTTCATAATTAACATTCTGTTTTGCATTCCGGAGCAGCATTAACTAAATAATTTGTGTTCCGGAGAATTAATTTCTATCCCTATGAGCCATTGCAGATGAATAATACATATGGAATAAAGCATTGCAAAATAACATTCCTAATTCCATATATCAAAGAGCCCTAATATAAATAATTAATATTTTACAAGATTCTATCAAATTTGGAGTAGGGTTAATAATATCAAGCTATTCAGATGTAGTTTAACAGCAGATAAGTTGATATTTCTGTTCATTTATACTTTAGGACTGAAGGAATCCGAAAAGGTTTCTATAAAGGCCTGTCGATGAACTGGATCAAAGGTCCAATTGCCGTTGGAATTAGTTACGCAACTTACGACAACATTAAGGATATTCTTAGGACGTCGGTAGTGAAATTTAGAACTAATTCGTTGATATAGTGCCTAGCAGTGGTTAGATCTGGTAATACAACAATGAACGTAGGTAATGTCGATTGTTTGATGACTGATATAAACTTTTAAATAATTCCCGTTTGTTAATTGAACGGACCTTTACAAATGTGTTGATTTTTTAAAGACTATTGGAATATTTTTGTTGCCTTCCTAAAATTGTCCATGAGTTTTTGTCTACGTGTTTACAACTCTTGATTTAATTTTCCTAAGTGTCCGAGATAAAATAAAACCTGCCCATATTTTAAAACAACGCAAGCAAGTTTTTCATATTTTTTGTCTGATTGATAAAGTGTAAAATCCAGTATTTAGTTTCATGTTGAATTACGTGCAGTCGACAATAACAATTGTGTATTATGGTATATTAAATTTGTTCATATTCTAGAATTTTTAAAAACGGATTAAAAATTGCCTCTGATTGCCTTTTTGCATTCTGTTTATAAACGTTTGCTTTTTATTATAAATAATGTGTAGACATATTGCTCGCGCACACCTCAATGAGCTCAAATGTGCACAAAAATAGTTTCACTAGTTGATATAACCCTGCCCTAAGTGCGAGTTGCAACTCAAGCATATAGATGATTTTAAATGCATACGTTCGAAAATCGAATTGAAAATGTGCTTCCATCGCGTAAATTATCAGAGTTTTGGTGTTTCCACCTTAGAAGATTTTTTAATAAAAGAAACACATGAGAACCTTCAGGTAGTACTTTCTGACGGTTGCATGATCAAAAAGGTCAATTTTTTGCGTATAAATTTATAAAATAATATTATTTGTGATACATTTCGTCTTTTTCAAGTGAGAAGCTTAATTGATTGTGCAATTGGCAGTGAGATTTTATTATCTTATTATAAGCATAATAAATTTAGATATTACAATTTTTTTAGTTTGAAATGAAAAGGTGCAAGATTTTTATTTGATCCATGGGCCACACCGCAAAGATTTTCTAATAAAATGAAACTGCTAAGCCTTTATTATCACATTAAATGGTTTCAATGTTCTATTATTCGATATTTATAAAACTGTTACAATTGATATGGATATTATTATGTAGATTGGCATTTATTCATATGTTGTATAGTAAAAGTGATGTTTCAATGCAAGTTGCTTTGTGCTTAGATGTTTTCTTTAGTTGTTTCTATTCAACGATTCATTTTCTAGATATTGCTAGTCATTCGATTAAGCCATGTGTTTTAAATTACTGAATGACCATTATTTTAATTTATATTATTGATCACAGTTTTGATTAGTTAAAGTCATACGTTCCTAGTAGTGCAGTAATCAGTTTAAATGTCCAGTGCATAACTAGATGAATAGTCTTCATAAATATTATTTTTTTTTAGTGTATCAGGTTTCGATAATGAGAAATTTGTGATCAATAATAGATGCATAAAAAATTATCATCCCATTTCGGCAAATTAGGAAAAGGAAATACCTATATTAGTTTCGTTAGAATTGAAGTTATTTGCTTCTACTGTGCAAAATATAATAGTTGTAAATAAAGAAATTTTATCAGAATTGTAAATAGTTTAGTGACGAAAATGTCGGATTGTTGTATTAAATTGTAGAGATATTTAATATATATTTATTTATCAGTTTTGTTTCATTTGTCCTGCAAAAAAGACAGGGAAAAAGGAAGATTAATTGCATACTTGTGATCAGAGTATCATTTGATTTATTATAAATTTGAAAATTGATAATGAAGAATGAATGAAAAAGGTACCTGACCCTGATCATCCGGAGTGTCTATTTTGCCCTTTATCTAAAATATCAATAAATCCTTTGTCGTGCAAAGAAACCCCAGTATTACAGAGGAACCCCATTCTGCTGATAAAAAAGCGTGCACAGCGGAAGAGCTCGTATCTTGCAGGGGAACCCCATTTTGCTGGTATAAATAAGCCTGCACAGTGGAAATCAGTCCCGTTTTGGACAACGCAACGATACATACAGAAAATATGGTCGAATATATTGTCTAAAACGACACAACAACAAAAAAATATTTACATATGTATTATTTTTATAATCCATGTTTGAAACTGAGATCTTTACAGAGGCGGCAACAGCGAGAAGCAGAAGAGAAATATTACATATGAAAATCAATACCCGATCTCTCGAAAAGCAGCCGCAGTTATCCTGTACGTTCCAGGATCGGCCAGCTTTTCGCATGTTTCGGGATTGATCTTGGCAGCCCTGTTAAGGGTCTTTTTTTAAATGTTGAACCAAAATTTTCAGTTAAAAATGGACAGGCCAGCCGTCAATGTACTAGAAGACAACAAAGGAAAAGGTGAGGCTCTTAGCAATGGAAAGATACCCCGATGTAATGAAACTGAAAAGAAAACTGTGGAAATTAGAGTAAATACAGACGCGGCAATCAAGCAGCTTGAAATTCCCTACAGGAAAGCCGAGGGCTTGGAAAATTCATATTTGTTTGCTGTAAATAATAAAGAACAAATTGAGGTAACTGAAAAAAGAGTCTCACAGGTGCCAGGTGAGATAAATGACGATATTTCAATGCTAACAAAACCAATACTATTTATTATCATTAACAACCTTTATTATAAAAAAGATACTAAGCAGGTGTGTAGACACTGCATAGAATTCAATCAAAAATGCCACATTTTTCATTCAAGCGTATATTTTCTGTCCCTTGATTTATATAGAAATCACAATACAAGATAGTTTTTATTGAAGGTTTGTAATGCCAACGCTTCAAATATTTTATTGCTTTTTCCTCCTATTATATCAAATAATGTACACGTTTAGCCAAGAACGCCAGTATAAGCTGGGTGTCGCACCTTTATAAATTATGCCAGAATGTTGGCAATAGAACATAAATGACCTAAATACATAATTAAATAAAAAGTGCACAGAAAATATAAAAACAGCAAATATATTTCGCTTTGAATTAGACTTAAAAATAAGGTGCTTAAGGTAAAATATAGATATTTAATTGTCCCACATTATGGATCTTGAACAGATTAACATTAATTTCAGGAAATCGTGGCTAAACTTGAGACGTTAACCAAAGTAGTCTGGTCCGTTAAGCAAACAAGAAACTTCGAACCTTGCTTGAAAAAGAAACCAAAGAAGCCTATGACGATATGGAAAAGGCTATACGGATGCCATATGGCTACACGTACTAGAACGAAAACGAAGAAACTTAGGTAATTCAAATTAAATTTGCATAATTTTTTGAAATTTAATTCGCGATCTTGCAAGCGTTTAGTTTTTAAACTATAAACCAAATTTACAAACTTAAATTGTTTCCTTGTTGCTCTTGTTGATTAACATTTACCGTTTGGTCTGCGTTTCAAACATGCATAATTCTCAAAAAAATGCCGCTTACTTTTGCAAACGATATCCCGAAACTGACTATTTTTGCAGGAATAAAAAGTCACGAAACATCAACTGTCCTGCTCAGCTGCTGGTTTCAATACGTACTTTTGTGGCCTCTTCTCGAACAAAACCAACATTAACACTGTTCGATAAACGATTTCCGTGCCTGTTTCAATTTCGCAATCATCACAATCATTTAGTGGATATTCCGGAAGAATTGACCACAAAACCGATGGGGGACGATCTCCAAGAAGCCATTTGTAGGCTTTTAAATAAGGTATAGAAAAATTGGTAAACAGTCACTAAATTTGCTTCTTTTAAATGAATTGTAAGACATATATGTGCAAGGGTTAAAAAACTTGGTTTTCAGAAAAGCTAAATTTGATTTTAGTGATTACGCCAAACCGACACTTCAGTTTCATATTAATTTCAGCACAAAACATGTTTAATGTTATTTTTGAAAGCGGAAAAATAATAAACGAATATAAAGTAAAATTAAAAATACATTAGGAAAAACCTATTTGTCTTATAATAAATAATAGGTTGAAAATGAAGCAGAAATAAATAAGCCCATAAATATATAAACAGTAACGTTTCCAAAATAAACACCCAACAGACGCGCTTTAAAATACGAAGTATGTCCGTATAATGTTTCGCCCAACTTTGTATGTTGGAAAAATTATATTTCACTTCTTGATTTATGCATCTTAACATTGCGAACATTGTATTAAGCCTTATTTATTTTTATTCATTTACAGGGTCATTCATGTGCTTCAGCCTTCCAGACCCTTTATGTGCTCAAAGCAGAAGAATACGGTCCGAACTACCAAACGAAAATTACCGATAGACATAATTTTGCGAGACGCAATGATATTTCATCAATATATAAAACACACGGTTTCAAAGAAAAATATCATCGCTACCTCGACTTATCGTACACTATAAAGAATCTAGAGGAAATGATGCATTCATATGAAGAAACTAATGGAACACTATTTAAAATTTCGTCAAAGGACGATTCTATTTCCATCTGTTTATCCACGCCCTTAATGCAGAGGAATGTTCAACAAATGTCGGAAGTGCTGTACATTGAACCGTCCAATGATGAATTCAAAGAGTTCAGAATCTACTTTATCCTCACTGAAACTAGTGTTGGAGCCCTACCAATCAGTTGCATTTTAACGAATAAACATGATATGCCAGCCTTCAGCGAAGGAATGAAATTATTCTTTGAAATTATACAAATTCAGCCAGTTGCTGTGTTAAGTAACGCAACCATTATAGCGGAATTGGTCAGTCAGAAGTATTTTCCCAACTCAAAGAAATTGCTTACTTTTTACCACACGGTCAGTGCGGCTTGGAAGGTTTTATATGAAACTAGGTAATATATTTTTTAGAATTTACAATAGAAACTATTAAGATCATATTTCTAGACATGAATTACCTCGAATAAAAAAAGAATCCTATTATCATCTGTTTAGAGAGATCGTTTTTGCAAGCAGCGAAAAAGGACTAATGATAGCACGACAGGTTTTGGCGGTGGAATGTACTCATCCAAAGTTTCTAAGCTTTATAGACAAAATGTACGAAAATATCCCATTGTGGTGTATGTATTACAGGTGAGGTACATAAAAAATCACTCTAAAATTGATTAAATTTGCCATTGATGAGAGGAACGTTTGAGACGAGAAAATTTATATTTCCAAATCGTAGATTTAGTGTATTTGTCCCTTTAATAATAGTTGCTTAATTTATAGGCAATTTATGAGTTTGAATGGCGTTAGCCCTTTCGACTACAATAAAACAGAAATATCGTTTATGATATTTAGGCTAATTTCCAAAATAGCACTGGAAAGAACAAAGCTGTTCAATATAAATCAAATAACTGATTTCATTTGCTCCGCATTTGAGAAGTTCTACAAAAATAGAATTCTCGAAATGGTCTTCGGGAAAACCAGTCCAGTGCTGGAAGAAAAATACGGCCGAATTGGAGAAATTGATCCGCCGCAAATGGAAGATATCGGTCACCATTTATACTTGTTCACCAAATCTATACCGGAATTATCGGATGAATATTATCAGGTAAAAACAACTCTGTAATCTAAACGACAAAAAATTTACAATAAGAAAAATCGGCTTGCCCTGAAGAACTGTCCATATACTCAAGCATCCAGATTATTTCTCAGTTTCAGTGTGAATTTTCACGGCTAATATCAAATCACGCCAAGTTTTAAGACCTTGAAGGTGCAAATCGAAAAGCGCGAAGCTGAATTTAATCGAATAAAATTTATTTGCAAGCCCTTATGCAAATCTGATTTTAAATAAACTTTTGAGCTAAAAAAACCTTCGGAAACAACGAAAGTACGAACCACAAAATAAATGAAAAAATTTGAAATACTTTTGCTATTTTAGGTAGATATGCTAACGGATCTTTGCACGTGTGGCATTGGGTCGATTGGCAAGCATTGCGACCATGTGGCAGAAACCCTGTCTAAGTGTAAAGTATTTTCTCCAGAACTGACGCTGAATGAAAAAGCTACATTCTATGGCATCGCTACCGGAAAACTCATTAATCAAAACGAATTTTCCGGCGCTCACAACTTAACTTTACTTGAAGAGCGAGCGTTCTGTTCCAGTCCAGCAACAATTGTGGGCTCAACAGAATTGGATTTACATCAGAATGAAATTAGTGAGTAAATACAAAATCAAATTTAAAGTACGATTGAAATAAACGATTCCAGGTGGTAATTGGAGTTATAGAATCATCGAAGAGGTCGAAAATACTAAAAAGCAGTGGATGTTATACTCAAACAAGATTTCACAGCTGATTGAAAAAGATCCTGCTAAATTTGTGCCTGCTGTTAATACCCATTTGAATAATATTGAAAAATACTCTACATCTTTACCCATGCTCCTTGAAGGACTATACGCGGGATTTCCTACCCAGAACGTATCAGCAGCCAGAACGGATCAACCACCTCCCTTAACAATCATCAATGGTAAAAACAATACAGCTGCTGGCAAAGTGAAAAAAGTTTATCAGAAATCGGCAAGAGTCGATAATAAAACTCCCCCATCAGTTAAGAAAAACAGCGAAAAAATTAAAATCCATCAGCAGTTGTTCCGGCAAGCCGGTGTACGACCAAAAAATAATAATTCTGAAAGAGAAGGTGCAATTGTTAAACATCAAGTGCCAGTAGAGTCGAATTTGGAGCTAATTTGGGAGAATATCAACGAACCCCCCACTTCCGGCTTTTCGATGGAACAAATTCATCACAACAGGAGCCTTCAATACAATTTGCCAGTTTTGGAAGGAAATGTAGATTTTCTAGAGGAGCAATTACAGGTCTGTCACTTTACAAACCTTAGTATAATTGTTTTAAATTAAATTTCTTTATTCGGATAGGATGGAGAAGAGGAAATCGACGAATCCATGATTCTAGAACAGTTCTCCAATCTCGACTTCGAACTGAATCCTGAACCAATTCGCAATCCTATAAGGAATGAGTCTTCCAGTGTATTTGACTTAGAAAACACGGTTTATATAGATGAAAGCGCTCTGAGACATTTAGCTAGAAATGAATTAACGATTATCGACGAAAATCAAGAAATCCTCATACTTCCTTTAGAAACAGATTACTCACTCAACTGCTGTTTTTAGTAATGGAAAATGTAATATAATTGATAAAAACCTTGATGCGCTCACGAGTTTTTCTTTCCCGCTTGAGGATAAAAGTAAAACTGGTCTACTCAAATATTATTGATCGATTTATGCAAATTTGCTAATTTTGCCGTTTGGACTATAAAAACCATATGCGTTTAAATAATTTATTAAGGCAACGTTTACTCTCTTTAAACAATTCGTTTTTTTAATAAATTGAATTTTAAAATAATATTCATAATTGTATATTTTTACAAGCTTCCATCTTTGCACCACAGAAGTCTATTTAGAGCATCTAAAACAAGGTACAACTGGCTATAGAATTAATCTTATTTCGTAGGAATGAACAGAATATAAAAGTGTGTATAATACTAGACAGATTGATTGTTAAAAATTGCAGCTTGTTTAATCGCTCAGAAGGTCATCATCAAGGTTTATATCCTGCAACAAAAACCATTCTTAAGCATTAATATTTTCGTAATAATGAAATCTTATTATTAAAATATTTTTTGGTGATTTGCAAAATAATTAATTAATACCTAGAACTTACCGTGGTATCAATATTCTCATCAAGGTTGACGCTATCCAAATCTAGATCTATATCGTCATCATCATCGCTTTGAGGTGCGGGAGGTCTATAAAACATCATACAATAAGCAATGCGTTCGAAATAATCCGCTGTTCAAGTCTATTACCTGTTTTGGCTAATGTTACTAGAGCTTTCTGGTGCATTCGATAATCCAGCATCAGTGTCCAAACCCAGAGAAGACGATTGACATTCTGTGATTACGTTTCTTTCGTGATTCGGAGTCACAGATAGAGCCTGAGAGGCAGGAACTATTGAATTTTTGTTTTCAAATATTTTTTGGGCCGCTACAGCTTCTGCCAAGCCTAAGGAAACAAATTCGGATGAACCAAATTTACTTTCTTATTTATATAGCTTTATATTTGTTATTATATTGTTTCAAAGAAAATGACTACTTTCATAGAAAAATTACAAGTTTCTGATGGAGATATTTCAAGAGCCGAAGGAACTAATCAGAAAGCAATGCCTTACAAAAACAATCAAAATTTCTACTTAAGCAAAAGGACTTAAAACATTTTCCGCTGGCACTCTTGATTGAGGTAGGGTTGATAGGAAAATAATAATTGAATTAAAAGAAAAATCAGAATAACCTGTAACTATAAAATGAAGTGATTATCCAAGAAAGCTAAAAATGTTCAACAACCCGACATAAAAATCAAGGAAAATACTAAACTCTTACCTGGAAATAGATTTTCGTATTGCTTGGGATCCGCCAAACTCTGGGCAGCTTTTTCATTCGTTTGAGCCAGTTTCTGCTTCCAAAGATCGACAACCTCTGAGATTTTATCTGGCATATATGACCTGTAAAGAAAAAACAAACCTAATGATCGTTCATTGCCTGAGCTCTTAATATTTACCTGGCAAAGAAAGCGGCTTCTGGCAGCCGTCCTGTATCTATTAAAATGCTCAAACATTTCTGTAAATCGCCGGCCAATAAGTACGATAAGAATGAGAGATTGTATTTCTCTTCGGTATACGTAAAATCTGCTAAATGTTTGACTAGATCTAAGTCTCCTGAACTAGTGGCTAGAAGAAGAAGACCACCGTAGTCTTGAGCTTTTTGCATACACTCTTTGGCTGTAAAGCAAATAAAAGATGTTAATACTTTACTAATTACTTTGAATGAAAGCAGGATGGTGGTAAGTTTATTAAGTCATCCAGAAAGATCTTTACCAACCTAGTTGTAGATTATTGTTACTAGCAGCCAATTCCCCTAGTTGGCTCCATTTTTGCTGGTTGTTTGCCTCAACGGCGAGAACTCTGGCAGTATTCAAATCTTCTAAAGCGATAGCCAGTTCAAATTTATGGTCCGGATCTGAAGAAACAGCCAAAGCTTGTTGTTTGAACCCTTGTTTTTCCAGAAAATGTGCCACTCGCGTTCGGTGTTCTTTAGGAATGGATGGCAATACTCGATCGGCTGTAGCAAAGTCTTTACGCATTACAGCGGTTTGATATTCAAGAACCTGCAAAATAAAAAAAAATTTAAGACTGAAATTATCATCAGAATAATGAGTTCATTTATAAACAGCACGAAACAAAAGTAGTTGGCAAGTAAACGTACAATAAAAAGTCTGTTTTGTAAGTCTAGCATTCAATAATCTAGAAAGAGGATTCATTCTTTACATTAGCAAAAAACTTACTCATAAATAAAGAAAACTCATAAGTTTAAAGAATGTGTCGAGTCTCTCCTTCATAAAAGACAATAAGTATCTAATTAAAAATCTTACCGATAGAAGAAGCTGATAGCTAACAACTCCCAATTCCTTGTCGGCCAAGTAAAGCCTATCATCTTTTGGAATATAACCCAATACGTAAAGAGGCCGGTCTAAATGCGCTATCGTAACCAATTCTCCACCAACAAAGTAGTTTATTCTATTTACGGCATTTGTATAGATGAAGCAATCGCCAACCCACAATCCTGTGCGGACGCTCTCATTAATCTAGAAATTTGAAATAATAAATTTTAAAATAACAAAAAATTGTTTAAAAGTGTTACCTCGCCCAAAACATCAAATGCAGATTCGATGCCATCTTCAGCCACTTCGTTGTTATCTCTGGCCCTTTGCACTTGCTCCCCATCAAAAGACAATATGTAGTAACTATCTTCAGTGGCTAAACATACCAAAGCTCCGCTAAAATAAAACATATAATTTTAAAGATAATAAAATAGTCGACTTTATAATAGGAATATTTTGAAATAAAGAAATTAACAACGCTTGCTTACCTATCCGACCAATAAACAGCTCTGGGATGAATCTCAATGCGCCTTACAAGCTCCAGAGACTCCCAGTCATAAAAACTAAGTCCAGCCACCGATTTTACTCCCAACAAATAGCCTCCAAATATACCATCAGCAGACGATTCTGACTTAAATTGCTTTTTTTCTTTGAAATTTTTGAAAATACGAATTGTGGAACCTAGACAGCAGTAATTCAAGGATTACAATGGTTTGGTGTTTAGAACAATAATGTATAGAAAATTGAAATTATAAACAAACTATATCAATCTCCAAGCTCTTACCTGATTCCCTTATTGCATATTCACTTGAATCTTGAGCCCAAACAAACTCCTGTGCGCTACCAAAGGCTTTATTTCTCAAAGCCATTGCCGTGTAAATAATATATTCACCATCTCCACATACAACCACAAAACGTCCGTTAGGATTATGTTGAATTGATTGTGGATATATTTCACACGCTCCCATATCTTTAGTGGCTACTGGAAGCTTTTCACCATCGCGGATTTCAGCTCCTATAAGAATACACAGGCATATTTTAAAAAATGATAAAAACAAGAAATCTAGAACACGAATTAATACATTTTAAAAACTAAAACTAAGACGTTCTGCATTCAAAACGATTAGAAAGTGATGAGAAATGTATAATTATAAGGCAAAGCGGAACAATTCATGCAAAAACACACTCACCTTCTGGTAGGGCTTTCAAGTTAGCCTGCTGCAACTCGCAGTGCCGAGCCCATATTATTTTTCCTCCATTAACATCCATACTGACTGCTGGTTCTTCTCTGCCTACTTTCACCATAATGCTTCCTAAACAAAGCAATGATTAATAGATTAAAAAATACAAAAAGTTTATAGTTCTATGAATAGAATGTGTACCTTCATCGTATCCTATGGCCACATTGTTGGAGCCCCTCAAGCATGTGATTGCCCACACTCTTTCAAAGCCATAGTTTAAGCTGCTCTCCAAACGATGCGTATTCGCATGCCACACCCGAACAGTACCATCTTCACTGCCTGCAAAATAATTAGAAATTTACTGCTTAAAATTAGTCTTGTAACTTCAAATTTACTATTTTCTGTTATAAAAAAGTTTCGTGTTTTAGTCTAGAATATTACCTATTAAATGGTAAAGATTCGTAAAGATTATTTATTTATTTCGTAAAAAATTTCAAGCCCTATTAATGTTAAATACAGTTTCATGTTTGAAATAAGAGAGCACTGCATTTAGCAAACCAACTGTATATATTTTCCCATTTTCTTTTGTATCTAAGAGACTTGGACCAATCAAGTAAATTACAGCGACGAAAAAGTACCTGTTAGAACCACAGGTAATTCAGGATGAAAACAGACAGCGGTAACATTTTCTCCATGTCCTTCCAAGGTTTGTACACAGGTTTTATTCTGATAATCCCAAATCTTAACTAGCCGATCATCAGCGCCGGAAATGATGTACGGCTTATCACCTCCATGATAGTAATCCACGCAATTTACACCTTTTTCGTGTCCTTCCAAAGTGAAATTTGCAGTTGCGGATCCTAAAATAAATCATAGAATTTGCTCAATATTTTTCCTGAATTTTAATTAGCTTCACATTGAAAAACAATCCCTATTCAACATGCTTCTTAACGGGCTGTTATTAATAAAACATTCCATTATTAGTTACCTCTTCACATGAATAAATAATAATTATTATAGATATAAATTAAAGCAATTCACAAAAAAAATATAAATTAAAATATTAAAAACCAATTTCTACTGCAGGAAAACACAATAAAAGAATGTATTATGAGCAGAGAAATAGATGGGTCAATAAAGATCCGACAATATTATTTTGGTTTTAATCAAAATATTGATATTAAAAACCGATCTATCCCAGAAACACAATAAAAGAACATATTATGAATAGATAGCACATTAAAGGCTTAAGAAACTGCTCAACAAAATTAAAGTTACAGTAAAATTTGTTCTAACGTAGGAACTGGATAAATTCTGATTGCTTCAAGTGATTTGGTTTCTGTTTGTAGGGTTATTTGTTTTTTTATCAATGTTTTGATAAAAATTAAGAACCTTAGATAAATCTTCTACAGGATGGCAAATGAAAGAACCACAATTAAGGAAAATGCGGCATATAAATAGGTTTCTTGTAGTTCAACGCCAAAAGTTTAAAAATAAACCAAATTGCTCGAAACGGTTTTAGAATTTTTAGGTCATTTTTTCCTATTTACAGGGTGGTCTCAAAAAATCAACTTTTTGGTCTTCGATCAATTTTCACCATATTGAGCTCATAATGAAGCTAAAACTTCACAGACAATCTAAAACGAAATTACGCTGTACAGGGTTGTATGAAAAGTGACTCAGACAACCGAAAAACGCACTAACCGGAAAAGAATTACACTCAAAATTAGTCCAAATTTGTCCATGTAACGTTTATTTTGTTGAGCAGTTACCTTACCTAACTGCCAAACTTTTACTGTTCGATCCAGCGATGCACTGGCAAATGTATTGTTGTCTTTCGGATTTATGGCAATCTGCATAATGTAATGCGAATGACCCTCAAATATTTGTTGACAGGCCCAGGCCTTATCCCAGTTCCATAGTTTGATGAACAAATCATCTGAAACAATTAAAAATCTATAATAATTAAACATTTCGCATATTACGTGTAAACAATGAATATATTAATATAAGAAAAATGCATTTTTAAAATTTCTGTAATTGATATCCGGATCTTGCTCGAAGAATCAGAAACCTACCTATATCCAATCAAGTAGGTACCCATATAAAACTTCTATGGAAAATATACAAGTTATATAACACTATTTGATTAAACTGGTTATTAAAGTTATTGTTTAGCCTTAGTATTGGAAACATTGTATTCAGATTAATTTTCTTAATTCAGTTAACAAAAAAGTTAAATATCTGCAATTATTAATAACAGGCAAGACACTGCAGGCAGAAAAGTTGAGAACTTTAAAAACACTTTAGCAGCAGATACTATAGAATGCATGCTCAATAAAATATATGCTAACAATTCTAATGATAATTTTTAAGATGAATTAAGAAAAGCATTGTGTTTACTAGGAGCTTATAAAGCAACAGTAGCATACCTAATTTGTCGTTTGCACTTAATATAGTGAAACCCTGGGGTAACAATTGTGAACCCACAATGGATTTAAAAATTAAATATAAGCTGCATCAACTTACCACTACTCGTCAGAACATAGGGCTGTGTCGGGTGTATGACAATGCATCGAATATAATCAGAATGAGCTTCAAATTTATGAACCCTTTCCAGAGTGTTATAATTGAACACTCTGATTTGCATATCATCAGAACCAGTGATTATCCAGTTCTTCCTAGGAACAAACTTGGAAGCTCGAACTGGCAAGTCGCAAACTTCGAAGGTTTTCAGCAGCTGCTGATTGTCAAGGTTGAAAAGGTTCACCACTCCACTGTAGAGCGAACATAACATCCAGGGCTCCGTTGGATGTAGATCTACACATTTTACCCTATCAGAACGGGCGGTTAATTTTCGCTTGATATCCAGTCGAAGCGGCTGTAAAGTGGAAGTTAGTAAGTAAGAAGTACCTGAAGAAAACTATCAGTTTACCATTTTGCGAAAATTGCTAGTTGTTTTTCACAATCAAAAATCTGTTTTTTCGATGAAAAGTGTACACGAACTTATAAACACATCAGCAAAACGTCAAAAGTGGTCATAACCACAGATTTCACATTTGAAGTGACGTGTGTTGATCGGTAATGCCAATGAATAAAAAACAGTTCTATGAACTCTATGACAACATATTCGAGAAACTTTCTCATTTTTCATTCATTTGATATGACCAAGTATTGATGCAACATATCAATTCTCAAATTCTGTAATAAAAACTAAATGATTTCTTGTTAATAAGCGGCAATAATTATGTATATGAGCATTATTTCAATTTGAAAAAAAAACAAGAAGTTGGCAAGTGTTAACAGTACACGTCAATTTCTCCAATAATCATTTCCATGTATTTGCCGAGCGATTCAACTGCTATGTCTTTTGCACATATATGAAATGTATATGTCTATCCGCATCTAACTCGACTACTGCTTAAGTGAACTGGCTCTTTTAATTCCCCGAATGCGCTCCAATCATTCGCGGACGTATGTCAGTGGACGTGTCAAAAAATGTGGTGATTGTGCCGGTGAAACTTGAAAAAAACATTAAACTGATACAGGATTTCTTGCAAAATGACCGCAAAACTGTTGCTGGGTATGAATTAAAACGTTTTCCATAACCATATCCATTAGCCGTAATTGTGCTTTTTTTAATTTTAGTTTTCTTATTGGCGACAATAACTCTTCAGTTCTCCCAAGGTAGCATAGAAGGATTTATTCCCCCACGTTACACTAAGCTTTTGGACGTTGCTCATGAAGCCTGTGCCTCAACAGGGAACATTCCCAACATCTATTATGCTGCAAATATTTATAAACAGATGAATTATCCAGTTCCCGAGAACTGCAAGAAACCTGCTTGCGAACAGCTACTAAAAGCTCTATCGGCTCCCGGATTGGAAATCGATGTTTTGTTTCTGGGTTTAGGAGCGCAGAAGATATTGAACTGCGAAGGAAATATACCCAAAGATAGACTGATAAAGGTATATCCAAATGCTTTCCATACAAGCTACTTGTCCACTATTGGAGGCGTATTGCTTATTGATTTTTTTTTCTTAATTAGCAACAGTAATGCTTTATCAAAGTGTACTGCTTTTCAACCACAAATACACTAAAGTGGGCTTATCTTTCTTACACATTTAATTTTTTAAATTACATTCCGCAGGAAGCACAGGCTGTTCTTCAGAGTGAAAAATCAACAGTTCCCAATCTTCATTACGCTGCTACAGTTTTAGTATCAGTAGGACAGCAAGTACCGAATGGTGCTAAAATTGCGCAGCTCGCTCAGGCCCAACTTAAGACGGATGATAGTGTGGTCGCTCTCGGACATGCCTTACATCTAGCTGCTTTATTAGGGGACTCTGGTGAATATAATCCCAATTTTCCTAACGCAGAATATCAATTAATTACATTGCATTTTGTTATAGGAAAGTTTATCATTGAGCGCATTGAAGATATAGTGGTGCAGGCAGATGAGATTGATGGCAAATTACTGCAGTGGGAAGGCGGATTGAGCACTACGTCTTTAGTACTAACAGGACTTCTTAAATTTCCCACTGTGAAATCGTTGAATCAAGTTCAAGCAGATAAGATAGCCAACTACCTTTTGTCCAGAGTCACAGTGCAAACACCTAGAGGTATTAAAACCTATTTTATCATAGCACGTTTCTAAACAATAATCTTTAATTGTCTCAAGACTTCGATAATGGATCTAGTATTCTATAAGACTTCGATAATAGGTAGATTCTATATAAACTTCCTAAAGCAACAGCGAATGCGGATTAATTGCCTAAAGATGCTTTTCAGATGATACCTATATTTATCCGTATTGGCATTTAGAAAGCTTTTTACTGTGATTGCTTCCATTATAGAAGTTACAGTTATTCCAAAGATAATAGTTATCTAATCTTGTGTGAAACTTGAATACTTTATTAGATAACACTCGACCTGTTATTGCCTGAGAAGTATTTGGTGAATGAACTGTCAGGATATAATTATATTAAATAAAAATCAAGTCACATTCACTTTTTCTAGATCTGTGCAAAGCCAGTAAATATGATATTATACGAAGGCTATGGCTAACTGCAGTGAAATTTTGAAATTAAATCTGAGTTTAAAAAAAGTTTTAATCTTCCTCCGAAGATAGCATTGCTGCTAAAATGCCCGTGACTTACGATTACTGCTTCGGCTTATTAATTGACATATATTATACTTGGCCGTTTTAGTTCGGTTTTAAATAACTCAGCTTTGTTATTAACTATTTGCCAGCGCAATAAGATTGTTGAAAATTTTACTTTTGTTTCGTTTTATTGGAAAATGTACTTGATTTTGCATATGACCTGTAAGGGGTTTACAATATGTTTATTTTTTATTCTTTCTAGGCGTTTCTTCACTTCTCGACGCCGGGGCTGCTCTTTCCAGCAGCAAATTATCTCCTGTGTCGATTTCCATTGTTCCACCGCCCATTGTATCCGAGATCGAGCCTAATCTGCGCATTCATGTTTCCGATATGTTAGGACGTGCTGTACAACCAGCGCTAAGTCCAGTTGTAGCTCAATCTGCAACTCGAATTGCCGATGATGTTGTGGTATTAGCTAAACAGCCCTTAAGTGTTGGTACCGAGAAAACGGAATACATCTTACCTTTAAAGTAAGTTAAATACAGTTTAAGTGTATTTTTTAATGCTGCTTGAAGATGTTTTGCTAAATGCGTATGACTCTTTCACATAAGTAAGCCAATTTACTGTTGTCGAAAGCGTTTCTAACTTTACTATTTTTACATTATAGGCTTATGCTTATATTTTTAAAGCAACTTTAACAGATATCCAGGTTTTTTATGCAAAAATCGTTTAGAAATTGAATTATGAAAATTGCTGCGATTTATTTCTATTTTAACGTTAATTTTGAAACTTTTCAGGCTCGAACCTGGTTTCTATAAAATATTGTTAAACGTGGGTTCCCATTCAGTCACTTTTAAAACGAAAGTCGTGGGACGAGTGCAGATTGAAAGCTGCGAAGTTGGTCTGTCTGATGCCGATGGAAGTTCGGCGCCACGGCTGGAAAAAATTAATTATGGACGTACACTGTCTAACAGATTAAACGGAGATTCTGGACAGAAGCTGATAATCAAGTTTACTTTAACAAGACAGGTAAGACTTCGTGTATTTTGTTAATTATTAGAAGCCAAATTCATGCAAGCAGATCATTTACGTTGTTTGAGTTCAATGTTAGGTAATAATTTGAGAATTATTCTGGCTGTAACAGTTGTTTAATGTAAGTACCGAGAAGCGTTAAAAACGTTCGTTATGCAAGAAAATACCGTTTTCGAAAAATCAACAACCAATCTGATAATCAAACGCGATTTTTTTATCTGTTGTAATTGTATGTTTAAATAGATATACATAAATTTGTATATCTATTTCGTATCATATTTGATTTATGAAGAGTTTTATGTTAAAATGCCCAACTACATGCATTTATTGAACATGCTGTCCCATATATGCATAGAAGGATTTATAGGCAAGAGATGGACGTAAAAGCCACTTAAAAGTTAACTAAAGCAATTGGCTTTAAATAAATATAAAAACATGTCAATAAAGATTAAACAAAATGTAGACTTAAAAAATAACTGAAGCCCTTAGGAGTCTCTTTAATTTTTCACAGAAGCATTAAAAAATGAGTTTCAAGCTTTTTTCAAATTCAGAAACCATTAATAGTTTACCCCATTTGTAAGTATCTTGATTGTTTATCGAAATCAAAGAAAACCATTTAAACAACGGAAAAATTTTACTGGGTTAACGGGTATGTATATGACGAGTGATATTGTTGCAGGTTCATCAAGCATTCGTACGCCTCTCAACCGCCAGTAAGGAGATATTCTTTGTGGCCGGTCAGGAATCCAACAATCAATACAAAGTTGAAGCAGATCTGGGAGAAGAGCTTCCTGTTTCCGATATTTTCAAAGTAGAAATTATCGTAGGTGATTATCTCGTCATCGAACCCGTGAAATGGCTGATTGGTGAAATTGAATTGAAAGCTTCCAATGCTGCTGTTAGTGCTAGCTCTAAGCCTATCCGGGGACCTAAACCGGAAATTCGGCACATGTTCAGACAACCAGACAAGCGACCTGCCCAAGCTGTGTCTTTACTGTTCACTGCTCTGACTGCTGCTCCATTTTTAGTATTACTCATTCTATGGAACATCATTGGAGTCAATCTTAGCAATTTTAGTGTGCGCGCGGTTCCGTTCCATCTCGGTTTCGGTGCAATTCTGGGGCTCTTTACTTTGTTCTGGTTGAAACTGAACATGTTTACAACTTGCGCCTGGCTCGTTCCCATTGGCGGCTTCACATTCGTTGCAGGGCAAAGATTGTTAAGTTCCATATCCAGAAGCAAAAAGGCTGAGAAATAAAGTAGGTAAATTGATTGAAATTGCTTTGAATGAGTGTTTGAATGGAGTATTCTGTTTCTATTCCAAAAGTGTTCTCCAGAAGCAATTTTTCAGTTATTGTCGTTTAGTGTCAACGAAATATGAATGCACCACTATGATACCATAAAGTATCTTATACAATGTAACTTTTGTAATTTTGTTGTGAAATAAACATTTCTTTAAACTATTATTTATAGAAGTTTCAAATCGTGCTTACTTTATTCACAGTTGGTTTCAATTAAACACACAAATACTGATTATAGCAAAGCAGGTTTGTTTATTAAGGGGAACCAGTGGGTAAAATTTGGGTATTGATCAGTTCTGGGTTCTGGTTAACTCTTGCAATGTATTCCTCGGCCATCACGCAGGCTTGTTCAATTTCATAGTTATGTGACACCAATGCCACCCATTTGGCTTCTAGGTTCTTCAACTGGTCACCTCCTTTGGTTTGAAGCGACTTCCTCTGCCAGTTAACTTCTTGTAACGCTTGTCGAAGCGCGGCTAATTTTTTGGATGCGATTTTCTCCAAGTCTTGTAATGTTTGAAGGTATCTAAAAGTTATTGGGAACTGTGAGGAAACGAAATCAACAATTTCAATTTTCATGCAATACTTTTCGTTTCTATTGCTTTAATTATTTTTTAACTAAAAAAATTCTCCTACCTTTGCCAAGCAGGACAACAGTATTCTAGCATAAGTTGCAGATTTAAAATTCTAACACCTTGATGCTCAAGTTGGGCTTGAGAATTGTTCACGCACTCTGACCACGCGTTCAGCTCGTTCAATTTCCCACTTGGAGGAGGGGGCAACTCGTAACGTTTCATGGAAATTGTTTCCATTGGAAGCCGGTTCTGAAGCCGTTCAAATTCATTGTGCATAATCTGAGTTTCAAATGAGGAGATGTTTAATGGTGGCAGATGTTCTAGATAATTCTTCGTTGGTCTATAACGTCGACATTCTTCTTCTACCATGGCAAAGGCCTAAAAATTTTCCATTGATTTCTTGTTTAATGTGTAAAATGCATGGTAAGTAATAAGCAGTTTTCAAAACTGTATCATTCACTAGCTGTGTGGATATGGTTAACTATTGAAAATGCATGTTTGAACTGCACTAATTTCTCTCGAGAGTTTGCACTCTGAAATGATTATGATGAAAGGGCGTGCCTTGGTGCGCTATAAGTCAAATTTATGTGATACAGAGCTGAACAAAACTGTGCCGTTTTTTTTTCCAAAATAGTAGATAATGTGCTGAATATATCGCTTATGAAAAAGATTGAGAAGTTATTTGCTTCTATTGAACTTAGTAACTAATAAAGTGGTAAAATTTGTGAATATTTCAAAAAAAAAATTCCTTTTTGAGCTTGCATCGACGCAGATAGAAACTTGCCGAATCTGTTTCCGGTAACGGAAAATTGAAAATGTATTTTTGATGTGGAAAGTTTTAAAATAATTGTATTATTTGCAAATAATCAAAAAATAATAGTGGCAAATTTCTCATTTTTTAAAAACTGAACGTTTTGTAGAACGCGTCTTTCAGTGTTGCTTCCAATAATAATTTCTACCAAATTTCGTTAAATATCTTTGCTCCCCATAAATGCGCAAGAAAAAAAATTCAACCAGCATTCATATAACATAGAATTCGTTGCTAAAATATCGCCATTTCCTCAAGAAAATTTCTCTATATTATTTGTTTCAGAGCCCAATAGATCTATAGAAAAACTGCAAAGCGCCCACATAACATGTATTTAATAAATTTACAGTTGAATTACTTAAGCATATTAAATCAAACGGTCAAAATTAAAAGAAACGCAAGTATTAAAACAAATATATTATCAGTGTATTCCATGATAACTTTAACTTCCCACTAAACCAAGAATTCACTTCAAAGATGAGAAGACTTGCATCTGAGTAATGTAAGCACGGCTAAAACGGGGAACGCGTTAATTAGTCCAGTATCGGGAACTTTCAAAATATATAATATCTATGGCCAAATATTTACGCGAGAATCCTAAAATGTCGCGTTTTCTGGCGCAGTTGAAGCACAATCTTATTTATTATGACTTTTTATTACAATACTGAAAACTGAATATGATTCCTACTAAATTTATGAATTATTGCGATCTTATTTGAAACTTTACCTGTAGGTATAGGTACTCTATGCACGGTAATAGAAATCGTAGTTTAAACTCCGTGTGAAATAGAAAATATAATTCATTCAATTTTGAGAACATTATCAAATATACGGCCGAAAATGAGACAGCGTTTCAAAAATGGAACAAAACCTTTTACTTAATTATTTCTTTCCCTACGATCTAATATTCCATAAAATCATGAAAAATGTCTTCAATATTATTTGGACGGTTGACATCAACGGGCTAAAAATTGTAGGTAGCTTAACAGAAAGAAATTGAGGGGAGTTAGATCGGGAGATATGGCAGGCTATTCTAAGGATCGTCTCCTACCAGTCCATTTATCCATGGGAATAGTTTGGCGGTGCACCGGGTTTCTGAAATCATAGATGATCTCTGCGAATGAGAAAATGTTCCGTTTGTAGCTGTTGCTAGCTGTAGCGAATCTACAGGCTAGTAATCTCGGTGTAACATTTTCTTAAAGGAATTGTAAGTAATTGGCGGCATTTGGTGTATTTTCAATAAAACCAGGACCGTTTATTGAAGGGCTGAGAATATTTGTCCTTACGTTGACATTCTCCAGTAGGTGGGTGCGGGTTTCCACAAACCAGTGTGAGTTTTAGTTTCCCAATATCTAGAGGGTTTAGACAGAAAGTTGCTTTATCCGCGAAAATTATGCTACTTGGACACCAAAATAGATTCTCGGTTATTATCAGATATGCCCTCTGTATTCCAGTGATAATAAGACTTCCTTGCGTTCTTTCTTCTGAGACTTGCAGACGTCCTGGTCTATCCTGATCTCTTACATTACATTATAGTTTTACTAAAATAGTTCCACTTACTGCTTCCCTTACGCCCGGCTCGTCATATCCTTGGTCTATATAAGGCAAAGCGTCTACTACTACTTCTCCAGCCATCACTATTTATCGATATGTTAGAAAATAACTATTGAAACCCAAACTTTGTAAACTAACAAAATTTAAACACTATTATTTAGGTTATGTTCCGAGTTTGGACAGCTACAGTCAGAAGTCAGAACCAGTGCGTATCGCGTAGAACGTTCAAATAGTTAAAAAATTAGTAGAAAGAGATGGCACCATAAGGACAATAAAATCAGAAAAGTATTTAATTGTCTATAGAAGGCACTCAAAATGTTATCGTGGTGTTTTATAAGTGTGAATAACAAAGAGCAATCGATAGTGTTAGATTAATGTTTTTGTACAATTTTTATTTACGTAACTGCATATTTTAATTAATTATTGATATAAAATAATTCGTTGCTCAATTAAGTCATTATAATAACTGGCGGTAGAATGTATAAATTATCCTGTGACGATTAAAATATATACATATTAGACATTCAAGACAAAAATGTTTCTTTTTTATTGCTATTAAGCTTATCAAATTTTATTTCATATATTACGTTTCACTTAAAATAGAGCCATTTTAGTGAAAATGTGATACACATGGTGACCACAAAGTAAGGACACTTAAATATTTCGCAAAATATGCTTGAGAGCGGTTTAAACAAAAACGTAAGTATGTAATATTTTAGACGAAGATGTGCAAAATAAATTCTTCACTTCTCCCCTGTAGGCGAGCTGAGAGAAAGTCTAAAACCTTACATCTAGACCTTTATGTTTTTGCAGATTCGCGTTTTACGCAAAAAAGTATGTAACTTTTAATTAAAGCAGTTTTCCGATAGCTTTCCGAACGGCTCTGTAATCGAATTGTTGGTATATCTTTTTTGTACAAATCGTTTTTCCTATAAGGGAATATGTTCACTTAATTTTAGTCGCATTTCTTGTTGAAAAAGACTTACTTTAATGGAATTTCTACAAAATGTTGATAACTATTAATACAAAGGGTTAAAAAAATTAGTTTCAAAATGAAGTTGAGAAAACCGCCCAAAATACATTTTTTCAAATGGAAACAGCCATTTTTGGTAATTTTTTCTTATTCAGTATTAAAAATAAGGGTAATTTTGTGTAAAGTTGTCCATTTCAAAAGGGTTTAGTTTTCGAAATATTGTCAGTTTAATGTTTTTTCCATATGACTATATTTTCTCGCATCTTATTTTAAATACTGTCTAGCTGGCTGGTTAAAAGCAGCACTGAATGAGCAGGTTGAAGGCAAGTTGAGCTTTTTTAACAGCTTTGATATTGGCTCAAAAACATTGTGAAAAATTGTATATTTATAACCCTGAGAGATTGTACGCAATGTTCTCTTAGATGTACGGTAATGGCTTTTATAATTCCTGTTCAATGGAGGTAACACTCTGAATACAGTACGAGCCTCTAACCGGAATATACCCATTCAGTAAATTGCAGACAAGTTTTTTTGTTAAATCTCTAAACACGTCTACTAGTATTTTAAATTGCTAAAATTTTTAATGTGCTCTTTTTGATGTAAGAAAATTTTATACAGAGTGTTCTAAATTTGAGATACGTTCATACGTAACGAATGATATATTTTATAAGGAGCACTACAATAGTTTAACTAACAATTTTGTCAAGTCTGAAATTTTGTTTTTCAGAAATTTCTCTTAAACAGGTGATATGCGATATACAGGGTGGCCATTTTCTGAATCTTTGTATGGGTCTAACTTCTACATTTTAAAGATAGATAGAATCCGTTAAATGGGCAAAATTGGGCAGAATTCGACTGCGTATTTATTACCGTTTTCAAAATTTAGGTACCCGACTTGGTTCCTGAAATATCCTGAAAAGACAAGAAATCAACACTTTTTTAATTATCCTATAACTTAGCTATAACTTTATAAGCTTAACTTATAAAAAAAGGTAAAATTATCTTTGGTAGAACTTTTTGCCTTGAATTCAATAAACTAGGGCTCGTTGTCATAGTCAACTTAATTTACGAAATAAAAATGAACTTTTGTTTTTTTAAATGGTAATCATAGTTCGCTGTGGACGTTTTAAAATCCTTATTTTTTTCTGAATTTAACGATATAACTGTTTGTATGTTTTTCTCATTTTGTTGCCGTAAAACTTCAAAAGAAGATAAAAAATGTGTAGTAGACTATGGAAACAAGAACTATATTATCACACAAAGCACAAAACAAAAATTAAATAATTAACAGACACAATCATGTTTACTGGGCTAATGAAAATCATCATCTAATTGAAAATAGGCGAGATCAACGTGTTTTTTTTGCGAATATCTGGTGAGGCATTTTTAATGATAAAATTATTGGTCTATTCTTTTATAATCACAATTTAAATATGGAAAGATATTTACACTTTTTACCAAATGAACTTGAAGACATGTTGAATAGTTTTCCGTTAGTATCGAATAGAAAATTGGCATATTTTCAACATGATAGTGCACCTTCACACAACTCACTAGTTGAATGTGAAGATGCCAAAAAATGCCTGGACGTAAACGGAAGTCAATTTGAACATTTAATTTAAACGATTCATCATTTCATTTTTGTTTAGTGCTTTGCGTGATAATATAGTTCTTGTTTCCATAGCCTACTACACATTTTCTATCTTCTTTTGAAGTTTTACGGCAACGAAAGGAGAAAAACATCCAAACAATTATATCGTTAAATTCAGAAAAAAATAGTATTTTAATAGGCCCATTTTTTTATCTCGTAAATCAATTTGACTATGATAACGAGTGCTAGTTTATTGGATTCAACGCAAAAAGTTGTACTAAGGGCAGTTTTAACTTTTCTCTAAGTTAAGCAGTTTACGTAATAAGTGATAATTAAAAAAGTGTTGATTTCTTGTCTTTTTAGGATATTTCAGGAACCAAGTCGGGTACCTAAATTTTCAAAACGGTAATGAATAGGCAATCGAATTCTGCCCAATTTTGCCGATTTAACGGATTCTCTATCTTTGAAAATGTAGAAATTACCCATACAAAGATTCAGAAAATGGCCACCCATTATGTGTATATTATATTATATTATATGTATATAATATTTAATCCAACTTTGTGATGAATTATAGACCTATTTCAATTAATGTGATATCTTGTGTTCAATGATAATATTTGAAACCATTCTTTCGTCCATCCAAATTATTTAACATATTTGCAATTAGTGCTGTTTTACCAAAGAACTACTAAATAAATTACGTAGACTATATCCGATTCACTAAAATTTAGCTCATTACTATTACATTTTACAACTTCATTCGATATTAAAAAATATGTTCTGCTGTGTATACGCGTATACATTGTATACTTACATAAGCGCAACGAAGACAAACACACGGAATATTCGAATAATTGCAAACCCTGTATACCGAATGTAACCGAGCGTTAGTCCTGACCAAGCACAAAAGTTCTTGATTCGAAGTTCATCTCGTGCCAGAAAACTGGAAAAGCCGGAAAATCCGACCCGAGTGGAAAACGCCTGAGTTAGCATTTCCACATGCAACTGGTGTGGTAGCTCGTTTGTTGTTCCTTCTGGCCAATGCATATTTACATATTCACCCTTTCAGTTCATACAATAACAGGAAGTTCTTTTGTAAAGTTGGACATCTAAGTTTTAAGGATTCTTCTTATAATATATCTACATACATTTCTAATTATATGGTTTAAGATGAACATATCTTTTTCGTTACACATACATTCGTTAATACTAAGTGGCATTAGGGATTTCAGGTTGTTAATGCAAAAAAACTTACAATTTATCTAAATTTTAAGCGCTTTTTAATTCAAAACATGCTACACATTTTACAGGAAAACATTTATTTAATAAAATTGTTACATAATTTGTCAAATACCATCATCGTCGGGCCATTTCAAGACGCAACTAACGATTCTTAAAAACAGTTTCTTTGGCTCTATTTTAGATAAAAATAAATGTGGAAATAGATCGATGAGGGATGCTAGAAATTATTAGATTTATTCTGAGGCAAATTGAGACAAATTCATCTAAAACTATTAAGTTTTTTGAATTATTACAGCGTAGTAAAAAATAATTTATTTCTGACGTTTCGCAAACACGAATGGCTTACATCCTCAGAGCTGTTACAGATTAGATATCTTCATTTTACATTTATGCTTAAATGCAACAAAACTGACTTGACTACTTTGACTTCTCTGCAACATACGCAACAGCAACTTGTACGTTTATTATTTATATTGTTCTTTTTATTGAATATTTTGATTTAGATGTACATTTTCTGTTTCCATTGCTGTTAATTTGTGCAGTTAGAAAATGCTCTTTTGGTATGTAATTTGACGAGTTTGACGAGATAATTTTCAGTCGAAAATCACAGTGTTATACCGAAAGATTATGAAATTATGAATATCAACACTCTTTTAATTTTATTTATTAAGAATTAATAGATACAATAAAGTGAACATTAAAATAAATAAAAATAAAGTATAAGAAAAGTGGATATGGATTCTGGTTACCTACATGAAACGTAATAAAGATAATTATTTAAAAAAAACGACTTAAATACCACTAGGAATGCATAAAAAATATTTTTCTGTACATCTCATACTTCCACAAAAGTTAAAAAAAAATCAATAAGATACCTACAACATAGAAAATAATTTTTTGATTTTATAAAATGATAAACCCTCATAAAATGATGCCCTCATATGCATTTATTCCGATATTAACAAATATTCTTTAACGTTGTCAATATACCTATATTTGCAAATAATCCAACGCCAAATTTTAGTTTAGTTTCTGAAATTCGACATTAGAACATTGGAGCCCAGACCAATTCTTTGAATATTGGTCGATTTGTAAGCAAAAAAGTTTGGACCTGCGTGTTTTTACGAAAAAGCTTTTCCTAATGTGATTGATAATATACAATTACAGGGACGAATTAGCTGCAGCCCTGGTGAAAAGCCAACAAAACTATAATTACACCTTGGCATGGCAATTAAGGTCTGAAGTCGGAAAAGCGGAGAGTAATCTCGGTGGATTACCGAAGCGAACAACAAATAACGCCGTTACCGGTTAAAGGGTTAATATGCCTGAAATTTTAATTGAGAGCAAATAACGGTGGGCGGCCAAAGGGTTGTGTTTACTTCCAAATCCCAAGAGAATGATAT